CACTGCCCTGGCCCGGATGTCTCCCGCATGAATGACTGCAAACTGATCGTATGCCTGCTTTGTTGCATACTTTTGGACCAGCGTTACTACTACATGGTGCATGAAACACGCGTTGGACACCTGCAACAGCATGTTTTTTCCGAATTATCTTCCCTCACACCACACCATCGCAGAAAAATAGCCTCCGGGAAGCTGTCTGCCTTAGGTATAAATGGGCCCAACGGACACTTCAATGCCTATCATGTAACGCATACGACTTGATTTGTGTGTAGGCACGAGTACAGCCAGTGTCTTGCCAAGGAGGAACACAAGGTTGGCAAAAGCCCGTTTTATGGTGATCCCCCTAAATCCCCGGATATAGCTTACTCGTTAACAAGTGACTCACCTTGTAACCAGAAGAGAAACCAGGAGCTACCGTGAGCTCAATTGTGCTTGCATTTTGAAGTCAATAAACTGCGGAAATCAGGCATTGAGCGACTGCATGGAAGAAATAACCGGCGCTCTTAATTTACAATGTTTAAGTGACTCTTTCTAAGCCGATAGAATTAAGAAGCTTTGTCAAATTTTGTCTGGGCTCTACAGACATTGAGGACATCGCGAAGGTAGACTATAGATCGATATGTTTGGTCCAAATTTGAAGACGAAAATTTGATTGCAGGTCGAGTGGTCGACAATGTGTATTTACATAGCCAGGTCATGTTTATCTGAAAATATTCACTATTCAGTCAGAATCGATTAGAGATGCAATCTATGTAACGTGTTTTTTTTTTAACAAGCGCGCTCACAAATCTTAGCGGCAATAACCTCGACACCAGGCGTTGCAGTCCCCATAGTCCGCGGAGCATTAGCCCAGTGGCCAATATTTAGCCGTGGCCCACGGGTGGACGAAAATGATGACGCTTCTGACATGATTACCTTTAAACACTATAATCAACTAGTAATACAAGTTATGTGACGCAATTTTGAACATGCTCACTCGCAAATGTTAAAAACACAAGCCTCGACCCCAGGCGTTGCAGTTTCCGCAGGCCGCGCAGCATCGGCCCAGCAGCTAATATGAAGTTGTGGCCAACGAGTGGACTACAATGACGACGGTTCTGAAAAAGTATCCGTGGACGCTTCGTGACATCAGATCCCGTATTTAGAATGCAGTCTGAGCGCATATTTCACTGTGCAATTTTTAGACTGATGAAAAGAACGGATTGGCCCCTAAAGCACTGCGAAGTGGGGCTGGAATCTGGTGGTTGAACCAGAAGAGTGAGAGCAAAATCTCTATTTTTCGTGTTTTCGCAGCTATTTATCTGTCCAGAAGACAGATTAACAAGGCACCCGCCACCCGGTGGCGCTTGCCGTGGCCGAAACTTTTCGGTTTTACGAAAGGCGCAACCCAGACCATCCTTGTCCCTGCTCTCGAGTTTGCGGGCGGGCGCGCTTAAGCCTTTTGATATAATTTGTTTCGATAGTACATTATTAACTGAACTGAACTGAAGATGAACGTTCACAGGGAAACATGACATGACCTTGCTCGTTTTTTTAATTTCGACCCGCGCTTTTCAACCACAGTCAGAGCCCCACTCTTCTCAACAACAATGAGACCTCTTATTTCCTTCTAGGCAAGGGGCCTCTTGAGTAGAACACCAGGGGTACATTACCGTTTCCGGTTAAGGGGTGAAGGGCCATTCCATCTCATCGCGAAGTGTCTTCTGGATATCATTCTGGTGGCACGGGGCGGGATCGCCTAGTCGATCCGAAGGCCATTATAAGGATATATCGTATCACATTGTTCCCATCCCTGACACAGGCCTTCTGACCCGCGCAGTTAGCCCCAGATCAGCACAGGAACTCTCATTGACGCAACAACATCCCTGATCACCGCAGGTAGTCCGATGTTTTCACATAGACCCCAGTTCCGTGTTTTTCCGTGCTCTTCAGAGATATTGAGTTCTCCCTGACTGTAGATTGTAGATGAAATAGAGTTCCTAATTTCATTAGCATAACTAACCCATGTTCGTCTTAAAATGCTCAAGATCCTATCGAAGCTGCTTACTGATAAGAAAACTACGCAATATGGTGTTGAACATGCGTACTCGCAAGCCATAGCAATAACAGCCTCGACGCCCGGCGTTGCAGTCTCCGTGCCGTGCGGCGTCGGCCTTGCGGCTAAGCGATTGCCAATGAGCAAACGAAAAAAAAAAATGACGCAGCTTATGGGAGATGGATGGTGGTAACTAGGTAAATCGGCATGAATGTTTCATTTGGTGCAAAAGTAAGCAAAATGCAACCTCTATCTGAAAAGTGTGGGGAGGGGGGCTAGTTAACATTGCTGGCCCCCCCACCTTGAAAAGTAGGGGGCCATGGTCCCCTGGCCCCTCTGTTCCTACGCCCATGTCCCTGCCTGCACACAAAAGCAGATCAAGTCGTCTACGTTGAGTGATGTGTAATTAAAAGTTCATTGGGCCAATTCATACCCAAGGCAGGCAGCTTACCCGAGGCTTTTACTGGGGTGGTGTGATGTAAGGGAGGATAATTCGGAAAAAAAGATACTGCTGCAGGTGTCCAACATGCTCTACGCACCAATTGGCAGCAACACTGATCCAGAAACATGCAACAAAGCAGTCATGCGATCAGTTCGCAATCAGTCATACGCGAGACGGCCGGGCTAGGGCAGTGACTGCCGCGGACGGTAACAGCGCTCAGATAAGGAATATGTGACAGAAGGGCCTTGATTCTATGGCTTGGTTATCAAAGAATAATCTTCAGTTTTATGTTTTGCCACATTAGTTTTGGCAATATCAAGCGTCCGAATTTGTTTCCACATAAAATGCTGCAACAAGCCTTATCTCTTGAAAACCAGCCAGCGAAATAAAGGCGCACGAAAAATCTGTCACACTGTGAGCCATCGATTCACATTCAAAATTGTCACTAGCCTATGTCTAGGCCATATTTTGGCATCTACCCCGTGAAGGCGGATGCCTCCTCAATGACCCAAAATGCCTACACGCCCGTGGAATTTCGCGTCCCCAAGAAAGACAATGTTGAAATGGACGAATAACCTTGGGAAGCTGGATAACCTTATTTGCCGAATGACATAGATGAGTCGAATAGGCACGATTGCGCACCAGTGATAAACAGCTCTAGATGCATATCTAGCACACCAGCCACAATTGAATAGGAAGCGATAACAACTTCCATCTCTACCCCTCCCCCCGGTCATCGGGATTACTTTCCAGAGAAGTTCCGGAAGCATGCCCTGAGCTTGGCCCCCTACTTTTTGAAACGTTCCTGCACCTATGCCAGCAGCCGTTCTTTGCAACAAGTGAAGCGCGCAGAAGACGGTGCAATTTAAGTGATTATGAAACGAAAACTTAGGGTCAGTCCTGATTGGTGCCTTGTTAAAAACTCGGATTTTCTTCTCACCACCTGAAGAAACAAACAACCCTGCTTAATCAGTCTTGCAGAAAGTTGCTTTGCTTTAATGCCGTCCAGCAACACGCTATGTGGATTTCCGAATTGGGCCATCTGCGGGGAGGGGGCAAAGCGCAGTTTGTTTCTTTGGATCCGGCCTTGAACATGTAACGTTTCGCAATGCTGAATTCACATTCATGATGCAGTGCATTACTGGCCCGGCATTCGAGCGTGATGACCAGCACCCCGGGGCTCAGGACCCGGTCTCATCATTTTCCTTTGAGTACTGATGCGGCGCCGAAGATGATCAGTTGGCAAGGGCCATGGATATAGCACGGCATGCTCCCGGTGATCGTGCTCAAAGTATTCGAAAATCAAAGCGCAGTACAAAAAAAAACGTCTTGGTTGCCAGGGGCATCAATTGCAACGACACGGATTGTGGAAACCTACACACAAAAAAAACAACATAAAAAGGCATGGTAGCAGCTCTCGTGCGCACGGGTTGCGACCTTACCTTCGATGTTTTTCACCATGGCATGCACCAAAGACCAATTTTTAAGCGGCGTAGAATTCTTCCCGGTCTCCTGCTGGCGCGCCCATGGGTGGGTAAGTCTTTGGGTCAGCTCTCGTATCAACCGCTCACAATGTCCCCAGAGGCGGATCCGGTGTCTATCCGTGCGAGCGCGCCACCCGGCGCACATGTCAACATGCACATCTAACAAATTATTTCTCTGACCCTCCGTCAACCTACTGGCCCCGGCCTAGTTTCACATTCACCTCCGCCCAGCTGTCAAGACATAAACAGCCGCCACCCGCGCTTTTTTGCGGTTGAAAGCTTTGCCAAAAACATTTGAATGTATGGAAACGTTGCAAAACTGCCCGATCCAACAGTTGCAAGGCAATGCCTTAAAAAATGCACCACAGCTGTTCAGTCAAATTATCAGCTACAAAGCCATAAGTCTGCCAAAAAACGTTACTGACTGAGCTAGGCCATTTGAGCAATGCAAAATCCGATTACACAATCCGGTCCGCCACAAATCCGCGCTGCACGTGGAATCCAGTCGGGTTTGATGCCTACTAAGTAATACTCTGGAATCTGCCATTCTCCCAAAAAACTTGTGATTCGCATGTTCCGGTGAGTTTCAGTCTATCAGCTGCCGTATGGCGCGACCCAGCAGCAGCACTGGCACATACCATTGTGAAAATGCCGAAAATAATGGACGGCTCCAAGCGAAGTGCAAACATCGTACAGCATGCCATAACGACGCCAACGTGCAACATCAAAGACAGGTGGTCACCCAAGCAGGAATTCCCGGCGGGCCACGCGCGTATGGTATAGTTGCTCCACGCTACAAGAACTCGGGAGGTTACACGCCGACACTTCAGCGAGCGAACACGACCATAAAAGCAGCGGCACGCTTTCGTTTTTCTCAGAGTTCCCATTTGCTGTGTTGTTGCACGTTAAGCGGATGCAGCGTGCAAAGCAACACATACTATCTCACTGGGATAAACATAGGTGACTGGATGAATGCATTTTCAACGGACTACATCCACCGGCCAGCCTAAGGCTATCACACCACGCTGAAACAAAGCAATCATAAAACGAATAATTTTATTACGATAACAGGCTTTATAAGAGCATGTATTCGCCGAACCTAAATTTACAGCGTTACTCGTCCCATTACACTGGTCTGTAACCCAAGGGAGTAAAAACGGCAGCGGGGCGGGCCGGCGGGCGGCGAGCGCGCAGCCCGGCCCGCCGCACCGCTTCCGCCCATTCACCTCGCACCATATCACACCTGTCCCGTCTGTCCACCGCGGCGGCGGCCGGCGGCGACGCGCCCCGCCACCAGGCGTCAGCACTCCCCTGCCGCCGCCGCCGTCGCACTGCCCGTCTGTTCCGAAATGGGCGACGCGCGGCGCGCGGCGCTCGCCTCGTCGCCGCGCGCCCGCGCGCCATACAGGCCGTGGCTGGCGTTAGTAGGCGTCGTTCAGTTGGAGGGCGTCGAATTGGTTGCCTAGGCTGAGCTTGGGCGCCTGTAACCGCGAGTCCTGCCCTGAGGTGTTGCCATGCCGCACGCGCTGGAAGTCCTGACCGGCCGGCCTGCTGGCAAGAGATGACAAATGTCAGGACACAGCAGGAGCCGGATCTGCTTGACGTGCATCAAGCCGACCAATCTGGGTGGCGTGCGTCAGCTAACGCAACCACAGGGCGCTGCCCGTACCGGACATTAAGATCTGAGGTGCCAAAGGACCAATGAACAACAACAATGACCCTACGGCGAAAACAGGTGACCCACCTACGCGTAGTTACCCAGACGAGAGATACAAAACGGGACTACCATGACACATTGGTCACACGAAATGAGCAGCCTTTCCCAAAAGAGCAAACATCATTCAACAATTGCACGAAATCGACCAGGAAATACACCCGTGATTAGCGACGAAAAGCATGGGCTGCCATGCGATAACAATGCGTGTCTTCCGGCCACCCAATTTTCCACGAACTATTTACTACACGACACCGATTCTCCGAACGGACCCACAAAAAAATATCTCCCCTGCCCAATGAGGCAGCCTAAACCAGCAGGCGTACCTAAGGGGCATGCATCTGCAACCCAGTGTCCGTGCTCCCAGACACCATCGACACATGCTATTTCAGCTGCCTTACTTCACCGTAACCCCACACAGGTGTCTCTCAGACCCACACACACTTGGCCGCCATCCCTGCATCCCCTAACATCTCTACCTGTTCCGCCGCAACCCGCAACCATCTTGCGGGCCACATCCCCAGCTCCTCTCCATTCGCCATCCCCCGCTACTTGCCAGCTCCTCCACTCCTTGCCACTGTCCCCTGCCGAATCTCCACACCTCGTGGCCATTACACCCCCCCCCCCCCCTCCCGCTCACTCTCCAGCCGCCCACTCCCCGTCACCAGCCGTGTGGCCGCTCACCTGGCGCCCCGTTGTCCCCAGGCGCCCCGCGCCGTCTCCTCGACGGCGGCGCCGAGCGTGGGGAACGCCTCGTCGCTGCTGATGTCGGGCGCCTTGTTGCGCCAGCTACGGGTGGCGCCGAGTCGCGTCGGCGCCAGCGGCCCGCTGGGCGTCGCCGACGCCGCCGGCATGTTGCGACGGTGCGGCGGCACGTAGCCGACGCTGCTGGTGGACGCCGCCGCAGCCTTGGTCGGCTCGGGCGCCGCCACCGGCTCGGGCGGCTTCACTGGCTCCGGCTCGCGCTCCTCCGGTGACTGGTCCCTGGCCTCTGCGGGACAGCGCACGCGCAGGGCGTCAGATGGCCGGTACGAGCAGACGGGCACCTTGATGAGGCGGAGCTCACGATTCAGCCCACTCCTGAATGTAACAAAAAAGAGGATCTCCAAAGACTGTCGTTAATGATCGTCAAAGCATGCTCACACCAAACAAATACACGACATTCAAAATACCACGAATGACCATACGCGACCCACGCCCGGCTCGCGGCTGCACGCTTCCACTCTCCCTGCGTGCAGGCGCCGCCGCCAGTCACCTGTCTTCTGCCAGCCCCAGGCGCTGCCCTGGGCGCCGGTGGGGTTGCCATCGGCGTCGAGCGGGCCCACCTCGCCCTCGGCCCTGCCCGCCTCCGGCTGCTCCAGCTGCTGGATGTTGAGGTCGGACAGGTCCACCGTCGCCTCCTCCTCGTCCTGCCACTCGTCGGCCGGCTCCTGCCGCCGAAACAGTAGGCCGTGATGCGCGCAGGGAGCGCGCGACACCCTATCCTCTGCGCTGATCGGAAACTCGCGGCAGAGAGCCGGTTGGTATCTAGAATCTTTGGAAGTGGCCAAGACTGAACATGCATTAAGTAACTTGATGGAGTGGACCTTGGAGAGTAGTGCAAAATTTTGGATGCAGCATCCCTTTGTTGGACAGTGATGAGGCCAGAGCACTTACTGCTCCACCACATAGATGGCACTAGCCATACAAACAAGGCAGGACTCATTGAATTTACTGTGGGCTCTCTGGACATGACAGGCATGTTGTTAAAATGTCTTAAGTCAAAGTGAATCTATGTCATAATAAACACAAAAAAACACAACTTTGAAACACTCAAGACACAAACACAAACAAGAAACAAACCAGCTATTGGCTTGGCAGAGGTTCCATGCAGTGACAAAGAACTGCTTTCACTGGGAATAGAAAACCATAGGCAATGCAACAAAGGCTGCACCACCTGTGGCACACTTTAGTGCAGCCCATAATGGGACATATGGTAACAACAAAATGCCCTAAGCATCAACCAAACTATACCTTTGAAACTCAGCAACCAAGCACAAATAGCAAAACAAGTTTTCCAGTGCTACATCACTAATCTCTGAATGAAATGCAAACTCAATGTACTCAGAATACTTTCTTTACACATTTGGAGAAACTAATGGACAGAAAGACAGTCCTTATTGCTTTGGCAGTATGTCATCTGCACGCCGAGTTTCACACAATTTCAAAAGTGAGACGGATTTAATACATACAATCAAAAACACACTTCCAGCACTATTTGCCTTCAACCAAAAAATCACCTTCCCATCGCCAGGTTTTGAGCAAATATAGTCTGTTTCAAAACATACAACATGTTTACTCCACCTAATGCTCATTTCACAGACCCATTTGTGTACATGTGGAGTTCAGGCTGTGCCTATGTACCTAGCATCTGCAGAATCATAGTTCATACTTTTTCTGTTACAACAAGAAAGGTTTAGTCTAAGGAAGACTTAGGTGTGACTTTAGTTCAGCAAATTTAGACACTCACAATGCATGGAGTGAATTCTCTCTGACTACTGATCCTGAACAGCCCAGTAAAACCTTGTATCACCAATTCCAATTCAAAGACACAAGGCCTGCTTCCAGAAAGATTAAAGTTATTGTTATGGAAATACTTGCCTAAATAAACTGGGACATGTGCTTCATAAAATCTTAAATAGAAAACCTGCTTTCACTAATATGGTTATGTAGGTCCTTACTGAATGTGATGCACATTTGAGCAGACTTAACAGACTCATGCTAACATTCTTATCTGAGTCTGCTCACCAATCATTTTCTTGACTCATATGACTATGCCTTGAAAGAAAATAAAAAAAGCATGAGTTCAGCTTTGATTCAAAAGGTGACTGATTCCTTAATACATTTTCACTGCATCTGGGGTCAAGCACAATTCTGATTTTAAAGCCAGCTGTTTTCAACCAGATTGTTTTGACAAGGTATGACTGGTCATAACCTGGTAGCATTCATATGACAACTATAATTATGATGTCATATTTATTACAATATTATTATCATGGCCATGTTTGAGAGCCAATTAATTTCACAGGTACTCCCTCAAAATAATTTTTCCTCCAGGTCAGCATGGAACTTTGATAGTTCCTGGATTTGGTGAGCCAGTGATCATGCATCAGACATGCTCACTTCAGATATTCCTCAGGCCACCATGCATATATCATCTTTCCATGTTAAACATGCAAATTTAATGAAGCAATATGGCAAACTGCATAATTATAGACAACATACAGCACAGCAGTCTATGTGGCACCTTGTGCTCTAGACCCTCCTTCTAACCCAAATTCCAGAAGAAAATGGGCCAAATCTGGAGAGAGACCTGTTTATTAATGCCATAGAGGGAAGGTTTCATTTTTTCCTATGCAATCTCTGCAACTCATTTGAGAAACTTTACCAATGTGTGAACGTGGGTATTCCAATAACCTGTCAGGTAAGATGCTGCCACATCTGGTTGTGCCATTGGGTAATAAGTATTATTGATGATCTCATTTAAGATGCATTATGCAAGCTTTTCACTGTACAAACATGAGTTTGGGGGTGCAATCTGGAAATGTAATGGAATGGAAATTCCTACCCTTTATAAAATGATGGAAAGGCATCAAATTTTGGGCTCAAAATAATAAATCAACATAATTCCTTCATTACAAATCATCTATAATACTTTAAACCTGACACAATCTTATACATACTAGGGCAGACATTGATGCACAAAGGTGAAAAGTATCTCATCCAGACATGAAACAAGGCATCAGGATCTAGCTAACCCAGCTTATAAGGCATCAAGATCTAGCTAACCCAGCTTATGTCCAGTTTACTTTTTTGGTGAGTTCTTGCTGTTGGAATGTACCAATCAAACTGCAGGTTGAGATAAGAGCAACCTCATAACAAACACACCATTAAATATAACTTAACAAGCCCAAACAAGAAAAGCATCTATTGCATCATAAGTCATGATTACCATGTCGCCCAAAGGTGTTCAAATTTCTATCATGCTAATTTGTTGAAGTACTATGCCACTGCAGGCTAGAGAATGTAAAATGAAAAAAGCCACATACTTAACCATACCACACCACCAGGATGCTGTATGATATGAAAAATGCAATGAACATGCACACTAAAAAAACAAAAAAACAAGAAAACATCATCAAAGACAATGTAAATAAGAGATGATTCACCAGGCATGCGCCAAATTTGTCTAACCAACGTTCAGAGGAAAGCGTGCACTCAGACGCGCATGAAATCGATGAATAATGGTTTGAACTCGTCGGTATTAAACGCCACATTGGAACCGTCCCCTCAAATGCTTCATTACCTTTTTGTGATTGGGGTCATCTATTTCCAGCTGCTCCTCCCGCAGATGTTCTCGTTTGAGCTCCTCCCGGCGCTCCCTTTCCTGTTGTTTCTTTTCAGCCTCTTCAAGCTTTTTACCCATGTCTTCAGGGACAAACTTCTTCGGCTTAGTCTTTTTCTTATCTTTCTTTGCGAAGAAATCAGCGAGGTCAGCCATGGCTGCACGCCTTTTGGTCCTTATGCACCACGCTCCTTCCACTCACAACTCTCGCAAATCGCGCAGCTAGAAGGGTCGAGTTTATGACGCAATCCTCCGACGGTGAGGCCCTGAGGTCACGTGACCGCATAGGTCCGTCAGCTGTTGAAATCTTTGTAGCTCGATAATGCCAGATTAGGTCGCTTTGCCATTTTGAGATAGTCGATGCCAGCTTCCCTAGATTTCAGTCATAATCCAATATTATATCCATATCCATAGACATTAGTCATAATAATTTTAATAGGTGTTTCTTCAGATCGCTTCCTTGTATCAAGACGCGTCCAGGGCCGTGTACTTATTCCGGTAGGTATGAAAACGCCAGTTCTGACAGAATGTGCTGCAAAGCTACCAAATCAGAAGTTTTCTTATTGTGGACCCACTTAACTACTGCTGTAAACACAAAATTGGAAAGCATAGGCCCCGTTCGATCCGTCGTCAGCACGATTGTCAGCTGGAATGCGTGACGTCACGCGTGCTGACGGGGCGTTCGATGTGTGAGCTGAGAAATAAGTTTTTAAACCTCACTTTCCCTTCTTTTTTATCTTTTACTTCAGTCCACACACTGAGGCCGCGTTCGATCAGTCGCCAGCATATTTGTCAATGACTAACTGGGGCGGGAGTTTGATTTGGTAGCCCTTGCGTTGGCGAGTACGTTAAGGCCCCTTTCGATCTGTCATCAGCACGATTGTCAGCTGGAATGCATGACGTCATGCGTGGTGCCGGTATGTTCGATGAGTGAGCCGACGGGAAAGTTTTTTTAACGTTACTTTCCCTTCTTCCTTCACCTTTACTTCAAACCTTACACCAACTCTGGCTTACCGCCGACACACTACTACAAAGTGGTGTTTAGAAGCGTGGCTTCTGGTCCAGTGTTGCCATCATCTATCCGATCCGAATGTTGGGTGCTTTTTCCCATTTCCAATTCCTTTCAGTTTCTGTCCTCTTTGTGGTCACGTGACGTGACGTCGGGCGAATACTGGGCGGTGATTGGTACTGACAAACGTGCTGACAGCAGATCGTATGCGGCTATTACAAATACGTGTTGGACACATACGTGGCGCGTGTGAAGAAACAGGTGCTGTCGACATATAAGCCAAACGGGACAGGGCAAGATCGAGTCACGGGGTCACAAAATACAAAAGTGCACAGGCACTGAGAAACATGCTTAAGATAAAACAATATGGATTTTTGTGGCTTGCATGGGCATGGACTTAATCACGACCCTGAGATCGTAGAAACAATTAGGATTGGAAGAATGGGTCTGGATTCTAGAGGAGACAACCTGAAATGAGAATGGTATTTTGAATCGAGATGTTTAAAAAAGAGCATGTTTTCCGGCCCCCAATCTCCATACAGGTTCCACCACCACTGGGCATGACATGGTAGCCAGAAGACGGGAAATGGAGGGTAGGTGGCAACAGGACGGAACAAGACAAGCTAACACCTAGGGCAGGATGACAATAAAAGCACAGGACAGAAGATTACAGCGTAGAACAGCAGTCGTCATTGGGAATCAACGGCGCACCCAGCTACTGACGCTATACGGCGTAGCTGCATCTCACCCTGGCAGGGAGGGCGGGCACTGCGTGGAATCGAGTTCCGTATCTCTGGTTTCCCAGACTTGCAATGGTTAGCGCAGAATGGCGGCACCGTGGAACTAGAACAGCAGATACGATAAGCCGACAGGAACAGAGATGACATGACAGGGCAGGACAGAGAAGAAGGTAAGACGGTGCAGCACAGCACATGATGAGATGGGCAAAAGGAGATTCCTTAAAACAAATCGAGAAGAGATGCTTCTTTCATCCTTACCACAGAACTCGACTTTTGTACTCCTCCCTGCGTCCTCTTCCCACCCAGCACTGGCCAGTGCCGTCGTCATCGCTCCGTATATAACACCCCTGTGTTCCCTGAATGTGGAGCAATCCACAGCGATCCACGGCCCGCGCAGGCTATCGGCGGCAATGGACGATTCTGCGGACCGTACACAGCGTGCCTACACTGTGACATGAACGGAGCCATACACCATAAATATATGCCGAAAGCACATAAAACAACGAACCGTTATCCTCAGAGCCGCGCAAGAAACACGCCTGTTGCGTGTCAGTCACTACAGGGAATGGTGTAGAAAATATGAGCATGTAAAGATGAACGAGTTCGATGCTCAGGCTGAAAGCGCACAAGACAGCGATGCTTGAGAGCTGTTTCAGCGCTGAAAAAGCGCCTTTTCTGTCACCGAAGAAATTTGGAATCGTCCGCATTGTCAACTGGAGCCAACTATTCAGAAATCGTTGCAATATATTTCTAAACGCAATAAACCACAAAAGCAAAGACAAACCAACTGCAATACGCCATAACCATCAAACATTTTCGTTTCGGGAGTTCATTTGCACTAAAGTTTCATTTGCTGGCCATCAACACTGAAAGAAGGGTGAGACTCACCTAACGGAATTATCAGATAAAGGCATATTTAACATAACCAGCCTAAAGGCATGCAGTTTCCTATTCAGTTAGGGGGGAGGGGAGGGGAGGGGGATTGTACCTCCTAATTGGGGACGCAATTTCCTATTTTAGCTATCATTTTATCCATCATTTCTCATTCATCATAATTTGGGGTTCAGCGCCCAAAAAGCAATTTTGAGAAACTATATCCCTGCTGCCAGCTGCGAAAGACTGCGTGAAATTTGGGGAGAAAACTCTTTTGAGTGCATTTCGGAGGCAGGCTCCGACATTTTTTTTCCTGCACTTCCCCCCCCCCCCCTTCCCCTTCCATCCCTCACCTGCACGCATTTTGCAAAAGTGCATCCCTGTGGCCCTACATTTACCGATAACATGGTTCTACAAGCACCTGGAATAATATCACTCCTGTTTTCATGACGTCATCGTACAATCAGCTGAAAGCGTTGGCACCCTTCATTATTTCGGCATAATCATTGGCGGTGCAGAACTAACACTTCCTAGCATGGTCCCAGCTATTTCGAGAAAGCCCCATACAATATAGGTATCAACAGGTGGAAAACAACATTTCTGAGCACTTCTAGCACCTCCATTTAGCTTTATATGCAATATGATAACTAAAAGCGTTTTATTTCATGCCTGCCCACCGATCAGTGCGCTTAGCCTGAGGCGCAACGGGCAGTTAGTTTAAGAGGCCCACACCAGCGATGCTCGGCCTCTTACTACGAAGTCGCTGTTCCTGTCAGTAGCAGGAAGCTCCGGATGAATCCTTGAGGTGTGTCGCTTCAAAGACCTCCGTTTACTCATGAAGCTAAAGCTCAGGTATCCACGTACAACAACCCTAGGTTGGCAGAGCTTTTCAACGCTACTACATTAAAAAACTGACGATTAGCTACGTCCTTCTAGCCAGTCAGCTTCTCACGACATGAACACAACCAACAGCAGCCCACGACCTTGCACTGAACCCAACGCACCAACGCATAGCGAGCAGCTGAGCCCATCTGTCTCAAATTGCACGACGCTTTAAAGCGCTGCGTAGCAAGCTGATAACGTTCGTCGCAAGATGCTGCGGCCAGTCACGATTCCTGCGACTAGTATTAAGCTTAGTTATTTGGTATCTTACGCTGTTAAGTATGTGATGTAAATCTTGGCTGAAAAATCTGGGAAAAGCACTGATCTAATCGGCATTGGAAAAGCACTGTCACCACTTATCGCTGACGTCAGCACTGATATAATATAGTTTGTAGCATGTTTCTGTCACCACCTGAAAACTATCCTGGTTAAAGGTACTAGGTTTGGTAGCATTTTATGGTTCCACTTATTCATACAACAAAAAGTCAACGCTTCGACATGTGCTCACGCTGCAAGTGTTGGCGAGTACAGACCAATACCAAACTTTGAGTTCCATTGAGATGGGAAAATCTGTTGTAACATGGTCTTGCCTGCCGAAATTTGTTTTCATTTCCGCAATTTTTGTCACCAATAGGTTCGAAAAAGTGTCAGTCTTTGTCACCGATCATATCCGAAAAAAATCAAACGCTTTTTCACCCTTGGCTGAGGAAAGTTTTACATCTGCCCTGACATGATGAGGGCAAATATCGACCTAAAAACGGCAAAATTTGTACTAGTCGCGAGATCCCGCTTAGAGTAATCCACTGGTGCTTTTTGCTATACTTCATCCTTTTTAGCTTCAAAACGGCAGAGCAGGGGGGATGCGGATCAACCCCGCTACCCGTCCGCTTCACGAAAAATGGGGGCGAGGGTTATTAACACAGGCCCGAGTGGGGGTCAATTTGACCCCTGAAGGTGTTTTTTGGAATGGCTTCCGAACGGCACGGCATAACCTTGCCAAATTGTGCATAGCTGTAGGCAACTGAACAGCGGATCGCTTGATGTAACAAAATCAGATGTACCTGGTTAGGTCGTTGATCTGCGTTAGGTCAAAGTCAGGCCATGGATTCAGCGAAGACAATTTCTATGGAATCGTTCAATCTGATGCAGCAATGGAGTGCTAGGCAAAGCCATAAATCTCTAACATAGTTTCTTAGGCAATGAAACAACTGGATGATCGAATTTCGTTGACCTAGTGTCAGGTATGAGGGTCAGACCAAGGTCAAAACCAACCTGCTTTATTGCTGTGTAGCTGGCTCGGTGGGTTAGTCTCTGGCGCTCATTTCGAGATTATTGAAACCAACAGGAACCGCATTATACATCTTCCATGGAATTCTTAAAGGTCAGAATGGGGCACTAACCTGAATGACCCATGTCGGCACTTTTATTTTAAGAACATACAGCCCAGCGTAACCTCTGACGCTTACTCAAATGCAAAATTCAAAGCAGTCTTGTGCAACTTTGGTCACAATGACCGGCAACAGCCAAACAAGGTCACCGACCTTAATTGAACACCAGTGACCATGTGGGTCGAATTGATCGCCCACCCAAGCAAAGTGTATTCAACCGGCCACCCGGGAGCGTGGCAATCACTTGCGTTCTTTCTTTCAAGTCACAGGTCATGCTCATGTGCACTGAGTACACAGGCAGTCAACCAACGGCCCCAGGTTCCACGAGT